ATGGATCTCATCCCCACTGCCTCCATCAGTGATCCCTCTCCTTCCGAGTGATACCGCTTGCTGCCGTCCAACAATGGCTTAAAGGTCAGGGTCACTTTATACCCAGGCTAATGTCAATTTGAAAGCTATTAGCCTTCCCAAGTACTGGAAATCACTGTTATTGTCTACTTCAATGATGCCCCTGAAAGATTTATCAAACAAGTGCAAATGTTAGAATGCTATCTAATTATTATGGCTTAATTAATTAGATAGCTTAATTTTTTTAGTGCAGGGAAATGATCTAGCTTGTTAAACTTTGATAAGGTATCCAGGGGAGGTAGGCAAAGGGTGCTTAACTAGAAAAAGCATCATGTTGTAAATAGCTTGTCACACTGGTGGGGGTGATAGGCGTCTAAGAATATGGTGAGGGCAAGTAACTTAACCTCTTAGCTTCAATTGCCTCATCTACGAATGAAGATATTAACGACACCATTACACAAGACTGTCTCTGCAATGTGTTTGGCATTATGCCTGGCTTAAAAGGAGTTGAAAAGAGCATTAGCCAAGACAGTGCTGAAGTATCATTGGTGAGAATAACAGTGGTGATCTCTATCAGTAGTAGTAAGAACAGTGATAGAATGTATAAAATCTGGGTTAAGTGGACCCCAAACAGCCAGTTAATGGAAGGGCAGAGAAGCGAGTAAGAATTCACTAGAGCAGAGTCAGGGGTGGCCATATGGACTGTTGTGGTGGCACTGTGAAGTAGTTCCTTAGGATTACTTGTTTCAGTGGATCCCCCAGTGGCTGGCACCATTTATGAAGGTTTTGGGGTCCTTAGTAAATGATGCCTTGTTGGTAGAATTGAGTTGTTGGGGGTCGGGGCATGAAGCTCCATAGTTGTGGCCTACCTCATGTACATTCTCTGCTTCAGTGTGACAAACATCTAATACTCTAATACTGTGCTTTCCTTACCATGATGGACCTCATCCCATCCCATGAGCCAGAGTAATCCCTCCCTTCGTTCCTTAAGTTCCTTTTGTTAGTTATTTTGTTACTGTAATAAAAAAATAAACTAATACATTAGTCTGAATCTATGTTATAATATTGCCTGTGATTCAAGGGAAATATCCTAGGAAATGTTTTTAGAATCAAATACTCATGTTTTCAACCTTGGTCTGAAACCTCAGGGAAGTTTCTGGGAGTTGCAGTGTCCTTATGGGAAATGAAAATAGTCACACCTGGATGAAAAATTACACAAATAGCACACACATATGCAGTGAAGATAATGTACCTAGTACCCAGCAAGTACTGGTGGGTGGAAGTCTTTTCCTTTTGTACTATGTTTGGCAGACAGCAAAATGGAACATCCATCTGGATAGGTGAGAAACATCAGAACAAGTACCATGGGCTCATTGCTCAGTCAAAAGCGTGGCACTAACGTCTTCACTCCCCCTTCCCACCTGGGTGTCTGAGGGGGGTACAGTAGGGTTGTCAGAAGGTTGGCCCACCCACATTCCATTATATCTCCTGGTAGTTTTGGGTTCACTGGAGTGCAGGACAATCCAAGAGAGAGCATGCAACAGGGGTGGGTGTCCTTATCAATAACAATGAAATCTCAGTGCACAACTTTTTTTCCCCTGCCCAAATATTAAGGGATATTTTAAAGTTATATATATGAACTACAGATCTCTTGATTTGAATGACACAGATGATATGACAACTGATAGTCCGAACAAGCTTCAGAACCCTTCTCAACTGTAAATGTTGCTTGCCTGGATGGATGGGAAAGTAATTTTGTTGAAAAAAAAAATCTTACAAATCATCTTATTTCTACTCTCAATAATATTGTTTCAACACATACATTATTTCCCTTTTTATAAATTCAAATAATATGCTCCCTCACAGGTATTACCATGCCAGTTTCAAGATTTTGTTTTCTTTAGGTGTTTTGAAGTAACGCTAATATGAATTTTGATGTTTTAAGTATACTTTCAAAATGCTCTCCTCTGATTTTTATAACTGTTCCTGACACTCATATGCAGTCATATGTCATTAGTTACCTAAATGTTTTCTATAATTATGTAGATTATGTTGACACTTTCTGGTAGGATGCTTGTAATTTACTATTTTGTCATTTGTGCCATTCCAAAATCCATCAGATAACCATTTTCAATCATTTCCAGATTAAGCAGCTGTTAAAGGCTCCTGCTGCCTTGTGGCTTTGCTTCATCTCCTGTTGGGCACAGAAAGCTTCGAAATACGTGATTCTTTCTCCATTCTCACATGGACTGTCTCTTTCTTCCTTCCTTCCTTCCTCCCTTTCTTCCTTCCTTCCTTCTTTCTTTCTTTCTTTCTTTCTCTCTCTCTCTCTCTCTCTCTCTCTCTCTCTCTCTCTCTCTTTTTCTTTCTTTCCTTCTTTCTTTCTTCCTTTCTTCCTTTCTTTTTTCTTTCTCTTTTCTTTTACTCCTGTTTGGTTTTTGTTTTGTTTGGCCCTAGTAATGACCAAATAATGTCCCTGACTGTAACATTCACAGTCAAAGAGACATACTATTATGCACAAGTCTTCGTATTATTGTACAGAACATGGAAGATGTGTTATAATAAAGGCCTAAATAGTTGTGGTGAAACGGAGCCTGTGGGCTGTCCAGATGAGTCTAGGAGAGTTCCACAAGGAAAGGGTCTCTATCCTGAGCCTGCTTTAAGTAGGAGTAAGGGAGCATTGGGAAGAACAATTTTCCAGGCAGATGCCTGTATACAACTATGGTAAAAATGATGGAGAGATACGATGCCTAGGGTGCAGGATGCAAGCATTGGCCAAAGACACTGGAGAGCTAATGGTCATTAATAAAGGGACCAATCAGCTGTGTTTATTATATGTAAGATAACTTATTATTATTATATCATTATTATTATCATATGTGTGATTATATTATTACTTATATGTAAAATTACCAATGTGATTTAATTTCTTAGAAAACACCAGTATGACAGGTTCACATCTTCTCTGCTACATGTAGCCTAGGATGGCCACTAGGGAAGAGAAACATGCCCCATGTCATCTTAACTATTTTTAATTCAAATAGAAACACATTACAAGTTGTTTCTCAGTAAAATGAAGTTATGAGAGTGATACACGCAGTATAAGGAGTGATTTTCAAAGACATATGAAGAAAACAATAAGACAAACTATAGTAGGTTGCCATGTGTCAACTGCGACCCACCCTACCATTGCCATGTTGATGTATAGAGGCATGAACTTATCACATATGCCCAATTCATGCTTGGGAATTTGATCCACTACACCTTTTCCAAATTAGTGTGAGATGACATCTTCCCATGATTTTGGCCACATTTTGATGACACCAGCCAAGTACCGTATCTCTGACAAATCTGAACTTGGCAGCAGAGCCCTGAAAGATTCTGGTACAGCCATGATTTTTGGCGGGTATGGCCTACTTAATCCACATTAAGGCCAAGTGAAGGCAGGGATAAAGGCTGGTAGCACAGAGGGAGGGATGACATTAATTCCATCTCTAGTTAGTTCTATAATGACTAAGGATGCTGATGATGGAACCAAAAGCAAGAGGAAGGTCTAAAAATGAATCAAGTACTAAATGGATGAACATATAAGTAAATGTATAATAAATTATGAGTTAGAGGAATAAGTCATGTTTTAGGAAGGTAGTATCCCACAGAAGAAAGTAAATACAGTTCTAAGTTTAAATAAAAATAAAGCAAAATAATTTAACAATTTAAAGAAAAGTAAAGCAAAAAGAAAGACGAATCAGATAAACTAAAACCATGTAATATATCACATATAAGCTGTGAACATAGTGTATTAGTGTGTCTCTCTTTCACACAGAGACACTCACATACATATACGCCCATGTCCTCACATATAGAAATACATATGCACACACACACACACACAAAACACCATAAAATTCTCTTGAGGAACTATTTCTCTTTCTCATACACTTCTGAGAATTCTTGGTGAATGAAGAGTCGTGGATGGGGAAACCGCCCCTCTCCCCAGTCAAGGTAGTATCTTCTCCCAAGGACCCCCACCCATGTGAGAAAGCATTACCCATTGGTCTGAAAACATATCCATCTTTATATCAGAACTTTATCTTGGAAGTGGAAATGAAAAGTCACACTTTCTAAATACTAAAGACTAAAAAAAAAAAAAAATAGAAAACCATCTTTAAATAAAGAATTTAAAAATGCTTTGGCCCCAAACTTTCCCAGACATGGGAAACATAAAACATGGTCCTTCTAGTCTCTGGGCATCTTGGTTGCAGCATTTCCAGGGGACAAATCAATCACCCATGAAAACTGGTGTGCTTCAGGCTGACCTACATGGTCCTATACATTTAGAGCAGTTTTTGTACCCCTCAGCCAGGAGAGATGGAAGCCAGCAGGTGCCTCCCTTCCTCTCTCCAACACCAGGTGGGTGGGGAGGACAGCGATTGGTATGGGGGCAACCTACTCATCTGTACCACACAGTGGGCAATCTTACATTAAATAGCACTTCTTTTGAAGACACAATGTGAACAACCCTCTGACTCAGTCCTAGGAACACGCGAGTATGCGGAGAAACAAAGGAGGAACCCACAGTCAAACACCACTGGGAAGAAAACGAGCTATAAAGCTCTAGCATCCCCAGTGTGTGTACATATGGGCAGTCCTCTAATAGCACAGCACATAGGCATCCCTGAGCTGAGAGGACACCCAACTGCATCCAACAAGAGCTGCTATGTACTCAGAGAACCTGCTAGCACACCAAGCCCCTCATTTGAAGCCCAGGGCGTCCTTGTGATAACCTTTTACGAATCCGAAGGCAAGTGTGAAGGAATATTAATTCGGTAGGGAATCGGCTTCTGTGCCTATGTCCCAATTGAAAGAAACACAAAAAGGAGCTGTTGATTCTAACATTTAGGAAATTACCAGCTTCATGAGAACTTTGAGTATGGCTCAGGATGGCATAGAAAAATATGGAAGGTTTTAGGTGGGTTTCTTACCTTCTTGTCACTCAGGCCAGAAACCTGGTCCACGTACTCCTCTTGGATCATGAAGGCTGCTAAGTTGGCAGTGTAGCTGGCCAGGAAAATGACAGCAAAGAAGGCCCACACTGACACCATGATCTTGGAGGTTGTTCCCTTTGGGTTCTGCACAGGGACGGAGTTGTTAAACACCAGACCCCAGAGTAACCAAATTGCTTTGCCGATGGTGAAAGATGGGCCGCCTGGCTCTGGTGTGATACAAAAGACGGGAAAAGAAGGTTAAGCTTGAATCACTGGACCTGCTTTGATCTACAAGTACCCAGAGCTGAAAAGTCCCTGGCAAGAGTAGGGAACCCCTCCACGGAGCTGTTCAAATGAGAGCTTTACAATTCAAGATCCTGTGTCTCCTCTGAGAGCTGAGGAAGGCAGAAGAGGGTTTCTTAGAAGCAACTCCAGAGTCCTGGTGTGTGGGGAAATCTTTTGCTAACTCAAACTCTTCCTCTGTTCATCTATGAGACCATCAAGATCACATGAAATTGTTAGCAATGGCCAACTATCCTAACATGGTCACACTGACCTTTGTTCTTAAAAATTTACCATTGTATCTACCAAAGAAATACTTTACCTTCCAAGACATCAGGAAGAATAATGTAAGACTTCTTTCTAACACTGCCGTAGACCTCCATGTGCCAATGCTGGATGACTGAATGTACTTTTGGCTACGTTTTCTTTATCTTCTAGCCCCTAGTAACTGACGTCTTTAAAATTACCTGGATTCCCTTAACCCCTCCAATGCCAACCCTTCTCAACTGGCCTGCTGCAACACTGGCTTCTGTACAAGGAAGCTCAGAGAAGAGACCATAGACTCTTGGCTTGACCATGTACATCTAGAACAAAACTGTAGTTCTTCTTGATAGATGTTCCTCCATCTTATCTTACGGCTTCCGTCTATACATGATTGGTAACTTCTCTACTGTCCCTGACTGGGAAGGCAGAGACCTCCCTCATGTACTATTTGGATCTTTGTGCACACTTCCACTGGAAAAACAAATATCTGCCACAGAGTTTTCCAACATATTAACAAAAGTCCTGGGATGTTTCCTGGGATCCTGACAACTTGTGCTCATGCTGATGTCTCTCTGCCCAGGGAATGAGGCAGTCCTATAGTAGTTACAAGTGAGATCCTGTCTTCTGTGTCCATTTTATTTCAAGTGTGATACTTTCATACTCCTTAGGAGGGGAAGGGGGTTAGGCCAAAGACACATGCCGTGGAGACTCTGTAACTCAATAGTAACTCTTTCAACTATGGGACACTCTAATGACCACAAAAATCTTCATATACCCTCATCCATTCTAAATTTTCTTATTCTTACTGTGCATATACAGCCTGCCTTTTCCTCACATTCCCTTCCCCCTGAAAAAATTGCCCGTAACTTATGGCTTAAAAACTAGCGCCCAGGCATATGCTAACCGTCTCTATTATCAATCTTTCGCCTTAATGATCCAGGGGAGCAAACCAGGCTTGGCTCTAATACGCACCCAAAGGGAACAAAGAGAATACTAGCACACACTTTAACTGCCCATTTCTTAACCATTGCTATGCTGACAACCAGGGATGCTAATGATCTCCATCTTCACAGAAAGTAGGGAGGATATACGTAACCAGCAATGGGTATAATGGTTCTGAGTTGTGCATTCAGAGGGGGAGGGGTGGAGACGCAGGAGTTCCGTGTATTCTTACCTCTGCCATCAGCTAGGCACCTGTTGTAACCCACAGGGCTGAAGTATTCAAAGACGAAGACAGCCACCGCGGAGACAATGAGTAGCATCACAAACATCATCACCCACACGTCAGCACTGAATGGCTCTGGAAGGAAAGCAGGACAGAGCTCAGGGTCAAAACAGAGAACACAAGGCTCGTCATTTCCATAATCATCTGCTCATGAAAACACCTATTTTAAGATGAGCAAGCCACGAGTGCATTGTGTGCCCTCAGAGAGCCAGGGTTGAGTCAGGAAGACATAGATCCCATCTTCCACTTGAGTGTGAGAGACCTTTTTATTTCAAATGCATAAAGACGCCATCATGCTTCTGAGCCCTGCTGGGTTTATGGGGCAGTTTCTGTTACTTTTGGAACCATACCTGGATCTTTCAATGTGATTCCAAAGAGCAGATATTTTACAAGTAAATGATATTAAACTGACTTGCTTCGTCTCCTCAACATGGCCATACAATGGAAAAAAAAAAACAAACAGAAAATAAAAAACCAAAAAACTCAAAAGTCTTCTGTAGTGTTTGTGAGTCTTGTGGACAAATTCTTGACAAACGTAGGCACTATTTTAGAGTTGAATCAGTTCAGCAACGCTGTCATACATGGACTAACCATTCTCCCTTGCTTTTGTGTCCATACACTTTTCTTAGGGTACAGGCTGCATTAGCTTTTCCAGCCTACTTCCTTGTGGGGTATCATACTAGATATCATTAGGATATGAGAAAATAAGTCAATCAGTAGTTTTTTTTTTTAAAGCTATGAGGCAGAGGTGGTGCATACCTTTAATCCCAGCACTTGGGAGACAGAGGCAGGCAGATCTCTGAGGTCAGCTTGGTCTACAGAGATAGTTCTAGGACAGTGAAGGCTAGGCAAAGAAATCCTGTCTCAAGAAACCAAAAGCCAAAACAAAACAAAGTAAAATAAAACCTATCTACTTTGAATATCAGTGTCTGCAGTAGTGGAAAATTTGCAGGAAGCAACAGAATAGGCATAGTGTTTTAATTACAAAGCAGCTATAATTTGTCTCTTATTACTAACCAATGTGGTTAATGGGCTAATGCTGGACAAGATAACCAAAGTACTCTGTGCATGTATCCTTGAGCCTCTTTCATCATTAAACGTATTCCAGCTGAGTTACATCTCTCTGTCTTAGATGTACTCATATGCTCAATACTATATTCCAAAAGCCATCTCTATGACGCCCTAGACACAGAAAAAATGATCTTAATTCTGTCCCATGATACAGTGCCCCTCAATTGTGTCCCAAAAATAGTTCTGGCCTTTTAAGCTGTCATTTCACAATGTAAACTCATAACAGGTGAATTAACATGCTGTTTCCCCTTCTTCCAAGTCATTAATAAAGATGAAGTTGAGAGGGGAGGAATTGATAAAAAATAGAAAAAATATTTTCCACTCTGAAACCTACTTTATTTTTGAACTCCCAAAGGGACTATAAAAGCTCAAGTCACTTAATCAATTTAAAAATACTCTTAACAAAACCCCAGACCTTAACATACCAACTGTTAAACACAAAGCCTTTCAGAGGCAGCGGGGGCTCAAGCTTACATAGTATATCTGAGTCTACTTCATCTGGTGTGGGGAACATTCCTTCATCCTTAACTCTAATTGATGAAAATCCTACCATGGTTCCATGTTTTTATGATTGTCCAAGGATTGGGTAAAAGCTTCACATTGGTAATCCCCCTCCCACCCCTCTGCCTTATCTAGCTTGGGGCAACTTTCTGCAAATAAATATACCAAACGTCATTATTGATCTTTATAATTTATAAAGGACTTCTCCATACACCATTATTTATAATTGTTTCAGTGGGCCTTTCATTATGGGAGAGCTGTATTTATTTTGTAGAGGAGAAAACTAAGTCCAAGAGGTCAAGTTTCTTTCATACTCAGGAAGTGGCAGTCAGATTATGAATCCAGGGTATCTTGAAACCTTGCCTTGCATTTCCCACAACGTAGTAATGTTGTATATTTGTTTCTGTCCATCACAACGGTACCAGGTTGTGGTATGGACTAGAACATAAGGTATGATGGCTAACATACCTGAGCTTTATTACAGAACTCCTGGAAAATGTTTAATTTACCCAAGATTCTAAAGCCTAACAATGAATCTAGTAACAACACCAATAATTTCATATAAGCACAGCATGCGTACATGGCAGGTAGTTAGCAAATCTGGCATCTGCTACTCTTATAATAAGTGAACTTCTCCTTCTCCTGACACTCATAGGAAGAAGATATTCTGCTGAACACTCCCATAGTCCCAGGCCTACCTAGTTGTAACTGCTGGGGTTGAAATTAGAACCTACTTTATGTCTTATAACATGTCAGTCTTCCTTATGAAGGAAAGTTGCAAATAAGTTATACCAAGAAGCTACAAAAACCGAACACTTCAGTGTATATACCATCTAGTAACATTTTGTGTAAAATTAGAAGGGTCAGAATTTAGTTCATCATGAATAAGAAGATTGGCTAAGAAACTCAAGTAACTTAGAGACAAGTTTCAGAGAATCTATAAGTCTACTTAGTGGTTCATTAAGTGAATTAATTCCGAAAGTCCAGAGTTGAAAACAAAGGCTAGGCATTGTTTCTTCTAATATTCCCATTTTAAAAAACAGTGTGCATCCTCTTTTTCCCCTTGGAGTGATTACGACAGTTCAAAGTCTTATAGCTTGTTTATGACCATGCCAGGCTTCCTGTCTCCTAGCCCAATGTTCTGGTTTCAAGGTGACAGTTTATTTTCCAATCCCTACCTCTATAATCCCTGAAAAAAAAAAAAGGTACAAAAAATGGGGTATGAGCTCATCAAAGACCTCATTTAATTGAAGTTGTGGCCTTACCTCACCCACTTGTAAATCATATCTAATACTTTTTACTTTTGGGTGATGCTAGGAAGTAGGGAAATCAAGAATAGTATTGGGGGAAGACAGTGAGAAACAAGGGGACAAAGAAGCATCTGGCCAGCAAAATCTCAAAAAACTCATATGAAAACAGAAGATGTTGATGAGTTTATGTGTGTGCTCTTCCTAAACCGAATTCTTGAAGATAATTAAAAAGTAAATTGGTCTTTTGATGATTTAGTCGTTTGAATGAGTACAGTCACCAGAGACTCATGTGTTTGCCTGCTTAGTATCCAGTCAATAAACTGTTTGAAAGGATTAGGAGGTATGCCTTTGTTGGAGGAGGCATGGCCTAGTTGGAGGAAGTGTGTCACTAGAGGTGGGCTTTGAAGTTTCAAAAGCCCACACCAAGCTAAGTGGCTCTCTCTCTCTCTCTGTACTTGCTGCCTATGGGCCAGGGTCTTATTCAGGTACTGCTCTAGCACCATGCTTTCTGTTTCCTGCCAGGGTTTCCTGCCAGGATGATAATGTATCAACTCTGAATTTGTAAGCAAGTCTTGAATTAAAGTCTTTCTTGTATATGAGTTGCCTTGGTCCTTGTGTCTTTCTACAGTATTCAATAGCATTTCAAGTATTCAATAGTAACTAAGACAGAAGATATTTAAACTTAGAAGTTGTTGCAGCAGAAAGACTCAGAGGTCAACAAATTGAGAACCATATTCTGTCATAGACTATGGATGAGAAAAAGGAAGACCCTGGATGGAGTAAGTTTATTCAGGTCAAATGAACACTAAAGATGAAGAGGGGGCTCAGTGACTCCCGATGACCACTCTAGCAGTACTTTCTTGTATGACATCAGACCTCAATGATTCCTGGGTGCTCATATGTTTCTGTGTGTTTAAGAAGAACCAAGTACTCCCAAGTGAACTCAATGTTAACAGACCACTTCCTGCAATTGTTTCTCATCCTGTCTACTTGTTCTTAAGTCTATCTCATATCACCAGTAAACACATGATTTACCTAAGAAGGCAGAAGGTGACACAGTCCCATTGCTGCGTGATACCATGACACTGATGCCAGTCTCTATGAAGGGCACAGAGAAGTCAACCACCTCTGAACGTTCTTCATTGATAGTTAGTGATCCCACTGCCATGTAGGCCCTCTTCATGACCACCTGAAGGGAAAGACACAGTGCTCCAATTAGAATATTCTAGAAGTCAGGTCCATCACAGGCAAAAGTCTCATGGTTCATCAGTAACTTAGGCATCATCCTCTAGAATACCATTTACCTCCTTGTGGGTCTGTAGTTAGCCTGGAGCTCACCAATTTGGCCAGCAGACCCCAGAGAGCCTTCCAGGCACTGGGATTATAAGCACACATCACTGTGATTGAATTTTTATTTGGGTTCTGGGGCTCAAACTCAGGTCCTCATGGTTATGAAGCAGCACATTACTGCCAGAACTCTCTCTCCATCTCTCTAGTTACTATTTTACATTTTGTTAAATTCATAAGATACATCTTTAACAATATTTAAGCAAAGCATAATTACACAGAGGGAATGACTTTGCTGCGACCTTGGCGACTGATACTGACCTCACCAATCATGCCGTTCCAGGTCCCATTGATTTTCTTTCCATGCTTGCCATTGGTCACCAGGTAAAGGTCATAGGTGAACTTCACAGACTTAGAAATTTTCTTAAGGATATCAATACAGAACCCCTTGCAGCATTTTTTGATGTAGCCTGGTTCCTCATCTGTTTTATTCCTACCCAGTTAAAGAAACAAACAAACAAAGCAAGACTTTGTACAAGAAGGAAAATTACCTTTTTCATTAAAACTCCAACTTCAACCCTCATCCCCACAGTATAATTTATTCCTAAGTGCGGAAAGAGAACAGACCTAGAACTGTGGTATTTTTAATTATCTCAGTATCCTGAACCATATCCCCGCACAATTTTCAACATTCCTTTGAAGCATAACCACAGATAAGGAAAAGGCATGTATCCTACATGCTTAGTTCAATAACTTTTCCCATTGAGTTCATAGTTTTAATTGAAACCTGAATTGAGATACAAAATATCTACGAGATCCTGAGAGACTCTGCAGTCTTCCTTTTAGATGTTTCCCTTCCCCTCCTCATCAAAGAGTAGCTACCCCAACTTTTGACAGCATAAATCTAGTGAGATTCTTTGCAAATACAGGTCCAATTCTCAAAATACTTGCTCAGAGCAAACCCATTCCCATGAGTTAAAACTCAGTAAACTTCAGGTCCCAATCATCGACTCTGGGCATATCCAAAGGAACCTTAACACAGCAGAGATTCCTTCAGGTCAGGGGTTTAGATGGAGCCACACATTTGATCAAAACTCCCATTGATCCTGTAGCCCAATGGCAGCTAAGAATTTCACAGGGTGCCTAACTCTAGGTGAGCCAACTGCATATCTGACTCTCTCCCAGGTCACCTAGACCCATCCATCCAAGGAGGTGTCATACTCAGAGATGATGCGCTTCTGACAGGGGACTGTATTCCTCATGCAGGTTCCACTGAGAGGGTCGACGCTTTCCACAATGACAAATGGCGCCTCCTCCAAGGTGACGATGCTCAGATGGTCATCCTCCTGTTCTTCAGTCTCAGGACACATTCGAGGCCACACATAATATTTCATCTGCAGGGACTTGTCTTTCCATTTTCCCACCTGCACAGAGAAAACAAAGGACTCAGAAGCCAGAAGCCATGGTCTCCTAGCCTCTCCCGGTCCTCTCCGAATCATCTTAGAAGCTGTTAAGCAAAGGCAAAACAATCTCAGCATAGAACACAATGGAGAGAATACTTTCTAGAACATATGCTGAAAATAAAAAGACTACATCTAACACAGTGGTTCTCAACCTTCCTGATGCCATGACCCTTTAATTCGGTTCCTCGTGTCGTGGTGACCCCTCAAACCACAAAATTATTTTCGCCGTTACTCTGTAGCCATCATTTTGCTACTGTTATGAATTGGAATGTAAACATCTGTTTTCTGATTGTCTCAGGGAGACCCCTGGGAAAGGGTTGTTAACCCCCAAGGGGTCATGACCCACAGGTTCATGATGGCTGCTCTAGGAAAGTAACTCTTTCAATTACTAACTTTTTTATTACTCAGTAGTGCATGAGGACCTGCAGTGGACTGGGTACCTTCTTAACCTCATAGCTCCTCCATCAAGAGCTGTGCAATTCTTGACTTTCCTGGGCCACATGGCTGTGGGGTTTGCTTGTTTTACTTAACTATAACAAGAAGCATAATCCAGAGATCACAAAGAATTATTAGGAAAGATAAAAGAACACCTATGGCAAATGAGCTGGAAGTCCTCTGAGCTGCAATGGAAGTTCTCTAGGGAGTTGTTCAGGGAACTAGGAATCTCTGATTTGAAACAAGGTAACATTTATATGAATGGATACAGACACTACTTTCTTGGAGAAGGGAGTGTGATTGGTTGGGCTAGTGACAAATGCATGTGTCAATGCAGGGTTAGTTGCACCTGCTGGACTAAGAAGACAGCCTGGTGTGAAACGGATAGGCATCTCTGTGAGAAGTCACTTGGGGCCACAACCACTATACCACTCATCACTAGGAAACACCATCACAGTGACTCTAACAAGGAAGGTGTGCATTCTCTGAATCACGTATGGCAGACCTGCTGTCAGTCAGCAGGATAAATGTGTGGGTTCAGCTGCCCTGTGGCAGAGGCCTGCATCCCTGATTTTATGTAGAAACCATTCAGCTTTGTTGCTAGGTTCTTACTGTACTGATGAGCCTAAAGGAGAAAGGGATCATTTTAATTTTCAATAATGGAGCATCTTCAGTTGTCTCAAGGAGCCAAGGCATGATCCAAGTCTACAATTTCATGTAGTTAGGGTGATGCAGGGGTGGTACCAGGCCTAAGACATGATTTGGTTTGTGTAACCAAACCAGGAATAAGTGAGAAGCAGTATGTGCACAGATTGACTTCACTTTCAAGCTTACAGACATGGATTTCTATACTAATGCTAATACAAGCTCCTTCTCCTCTGAATTCTTGCTTTTGTCTGTGTTTGTGTGGTTAGTTCCTCCCTCTAGCTTGTCCCACAGAGCTGATCACTTTACTTGCATAGTCAAATTAGGCCCTCCTAGCCACTGCCTGTTCATTACATCTTCATAACATGGGCATTGATTTTGTGTCCTAGACTATTTTGTTTGGCACTTGCTCAGTTTTTCTCTGGCAATAACTCTGGAGCCAGCTGTTTTGTTTTTATCCTCTAAGCTGTTTTGCTTCTAGGCTCAAAATAAAGTGTTGAAACCAATGTTTTCTTTCCTTTATATATGTAGATGCACCATGACCTCTGATGGGATTATGACCTAATAATCCATCATAAGTTGTAAATGTAAGATTTAAATGTATTGCACACTCTTGACCTACAGAGTATCATAGCTCTGTAGAAACACAGAATTATACAGAGGGCTGGTTGTTTGCCTGTGTGATCTGGTAGTTCTTGTGGCTCATGAGAGAGGTGGTTCACTGCTATTGCCTAACAGCATGAGAGGATATCCTACCACATATCAGCAGTCCCCAAATCAAAATATGCTTACACACACACACACACACACACACACACACACACACACACACACACCTGCAAACATAGAGAATATAAGCAAAGTAAAATGAAATATGGCTTCTATTAGGTACAAATCCCTTTCATATCATCACAAAGCTGAAGAAAACCACAAGCCAAGCTGTCTTAAACAGCTGTCCAAACTGTTTGCTCTTCAATAAAATATTGACCGTGAATAAACTATTGATCTTGATTTTGTTGCAAATCTGTTCACCTCATGTTGCTAAGGCTAGGGTTATCTTCAAATGACTTCCCAGAAATGTAGAAATATTTACACCCTCAGATGGAGCTTTGGCAAGAGAAGACACATCCCTGGAGGGCCATGGAGTCAGGTCCTTTGACAAGCAAGCATATGTATTCCAGGAGCCAAAGCAATGTTATTCTATGCATGTTTCATTATGAGGAAAAGGTTGAAAAGCCTTAAAGTGCCATCATTATTTATTAAAGTCCATTTATTTATTTATTTATTTATTTATTTATTTATTTATTTATTTATT